AAAAAAAAAAGCCGATGCTTCCCTGGAAACTGCAATGGGATTATGGTACGACGTTCAGCTCAGCTGAGTTCAAATTTACAAATGCATAAATGACACCAATCTGCCGAGTCTTGGATTATAAGTATCAGTGTTTTTCATTACAGTTCCCAGAATGAACTGAAATTAGCACAAAAACCGTAACAGGAAAAACTGAATTTTAGAAAGCTACAATATTATCAAAAACGAACGGAATGTTTTAATGCGCAGTTGCCTGTGACAGCCGCAACTGGCCGCGGCGGACGCTCTTTTGTTGGCGTAGGCAGTTCATCCTGCAACTTTATCTTCTGCTTTAAAGACAATAAATAATTCGAGAGTTTATACGAATGAACCTGAATCCGCCACATTAGGCTAGCTAGCAAATGCATGATAGAAATTTCTAAATCAGATATTTTAACTAATTAGAGCAAAACTCTTTCATAGCCGTAGCAGTCCATGTTTAAAGCAGATAACTGATCATTTTTCAGCACTAATTTAACTGAAGAAAATCGTTTACAAGTGCAACAAACGTTTGTCCATGTGATCGCACGTGGCTTGAGACGCGAAAGTTTTTTCTCACACACATTCGCCTAAACGTGGTCACGAAATACGCTCACATTATTCCAGCTTCTCTGATTTAAGAGTTGTAAAACTACCAGAGCCAACTTTCCACTTAAACAACGTAAGATGTAGACGGAAGATGGAGATTAATTTCTTGCAGACGTATTCTCACGCTGTCTTTTTTGGACTAGTCTCACAAATTCCGGCTTTTGGTTATTTTGCTTTAAGAAGGTACATAATTGTCAGCGTCAAGTTTGTAAGTGGGATGTAGGGGAACCTGAAAGACGACTATTTGCCAAAATACGGCGTGGACTAAAATTTCAACTTTCAAGCTATTTTGGTTGCGAAGTTACAAAATTGTTAACATTAACTTATTACGAGTCCGTTTGTAATGTAGACGAGATCGTAAGCCTTGATTCACGTACACTTACTTACAGTCAGTCGCGGTTAAGTATATCTTTATCAACTTCAAGCTTGCTTCAATTTCATGCAAAGCACACACTCATTTAGTAATCTACAGAATTTAATTGAATGCTAAAAAAAGCATCATTATGGACACTTCATAAAATCAGCAAAATATGCGTATTTAAACTTACAGCATGGTTGTACGGATGAGATTCCGGTGTTGAGGAGTCAAAATCGTTATTGACAGAATGCAGATCACTGAGCTGCATCTGAAAATCGTCCTCGATGGTCAACACGGACATATCATCAGGTACACTTCCATCATGCGTCCAATCGTCTTCGGCTTTCACAGGTGGCTGAAAATGATAAGCTGTTGAATGCATCAAAGGCGGTGACACTTCCAAGGGAAAAGTAATTTAGGCCCATAATGCTTAACATTTTAGTGAAGTATGCGTGGCTAGTTGTAAAGAGATAATTTAAACTTCAGCTTCTTTGGATGAGAAATGGGAGTTTGCAGTGATCATATCTTATTCGCGTTTAAATAATTTTCATAAGCAATCAGGCCAGTATGTTAGACCGCTTTTATTGAATAACTAGTTAATATTCGAGCAGTTAATCTTTGCTGAAAAGCATCACAGAATGTTTTCCCGCCGAAATCACCTCCTCTCAATTCCGAAATTGTCAAAACACAACATTTAAAAAATCTATGAATCTGCTTCAAAATCCGACGAGAATCTGCAATTTAGTTGGAGGTTCTCGCAAAATGACATGAATTATTCGCATTATTTTCAGAGAAACTGACCTTGCGTAATGGAGCTATCAGGTAAGCCGAAAAAGTTGCATAACACACAAAATGCGTTTACAAAATCAAGAGATGAATAGCGAGATTCCGGACACTTTTGAAAGCACACCAACCTCTCTATGAAGAGCGAAGGGAGAGGTTGGAGAAAGAATTAAGAAATACGAGCTATTTTGTAGTGATAAAGCAGTTATGTGCAAACAGCTTATGTCTGCAACAAAATTAGATAATGTTCAAAAACCTGTAACATACTTCACGCCTTAGCTTTTGGCGTCCACTTCACGCAACCGCAATATTTCGGCCGGCTGGTTCAGCTCTTGTTATTACAGCGATTATTCAATTCCTCAGCTGCCAATCTCGGAAAAAAAAGACAGAGTCCATAAAATCTTAACTGAAATCTTACATTGTATTCGTCCCATTCGTACGCCGAGGCATCACTTTGTTCATGTGCAATCACATCGCTGTCACGAAATGTGCTCCACTGCGAAACCGTTGCTGCTGGAGCCGAGCATACTGATTCTAAAACAACGGAGCTTTTTTTTTGTACAAAAGCTATTGCTTATATTATAAAAATATGAATCAGGTAACGGGAAAAAAGTGGGCGGATTCATTTTCCGTTCTCTTATATACCAA